TTGATGGCACCTAACAACAACAACAACAAAGTATAAAAATGATAGGAAATAAAATTGACCAAACAGAATGGGCCAGAAAGAATAATCTTTTTTTTCTTAGTTTAGTTTTAAATCTGCCTTTTCAAACCATTCACTACAATGCATACTTGGGTTCTCATTTTTATAATTAAACATAGAGATATCTAGAAATGTGGTTACCAAAATATTAACAACAAGGAAGAGATTTTAAGGGTAGTTATCTTTGTGTAGTGGGTTAAAGATAATTTTCAGTTTCTTTATACATTTTAATTTTTAACAGGGAACAAGGATACTTTTATAATCAGGAAAAAAGTTACTATAATTTTGAGAAACGATTCACACTTAGTTACATTTTACATTTTCCACAGCCAATTTTAACAATTTCTGCCACCTAAAATATTCATCCTCACAAGGTTACGTTATCATGGAAAACAAATTTCATTAATAACCAAAACATGATAAAGTATATGTCCTATGAAAAATTTGTAAAATGAGTTCCTAAGGTAAATACTGGAAACCCTGGTGGCATAGTGGTTAAGAGCTACGGCTGCTAACCAGAAAGTCAGCAGTTCGAATCCACCAAGGTGTTCCTTGGAAACCCTAGGGGCAGTTCTACTCTGTTCTACATGGTCGCTATGAGTCGGAATCAACTCGTCAGCAACGGGTTTGGTTTTTAGTTAAGGTGAATATTAAAGACTTGACAGAGTTAATATGAACTGAAATTTCCTTAAAATAAAACTCTGAAATTCTTGAGGATTTATCAACCTGCAAATTTTTAGTTTTTGTGGATTTCTAAGATTTGGGCCTGAGACTGATGTGAATGTAACTGCTTTCTTGTATGATTAATCAAATCCATGATTACATGATTCCTTTCTCTGTATTATAAAGTTTAACTTCCTATCTTTGGAACTACTATTTCTGCAACAGTCACTGAGCTCACCACAGTTCATATTTCACACAATCAGATGTCCTCTCCCCTATCCTCACCTCACCTGTCGCTTTCTTCAACTAAACTTGGACTTTATCGTTATGACCTTTGGGCAGATTTGCTTTTAAATTCCAGAAACTCCAGAATTTCGCGATAGGTACCATATTGTTATTGTTGTGTGCCATCGCCACTCACAGCAACCCTATCAGACAGAGAAGAACTGCCCCATAGGGTTTCCTAGGTTGTAATCTTTACTAGAACAGATCACCAGGTCTTTTCTCCTGAGGAGCCACTGGTGGGTTCAAACTACTAACCTTTCAGTTAGCAGCCAAGCACTTTAACCATTGCACCATCAGGGCTCCTTAGAGGTACCATAAAAAAAATTAAAGACACTAATTATTTGTTTTAATAATTAATGGAATTATAAACACAGTATTCTTTGCTGATAGAATACACAAATTTGTATGCACTAAAACACATTATTCAGTGAAGTTAAAGCTATCTTCTCTGTCATGGTTACATTTCTCTAAGCAAACACTTAGGCATGAGATCACTTAAAAGTGTTATGCAGTATAGTACAAGAAGAATCGTTTCTTTTGTCTTGAAAAGCTCTTACCTCATCAAATCCAGCAGCTTGCAAATCATGGAACATTTGTGGATTAACTTCTGAAGTACTCCGGGAGGAAGAACTTGTTTCATTTGCAAATGGTAGTAGAGAGTTTCGAATTTCCTGCAAGGCTTTATGATACGTCCCAAATTTAGGTGGATTTCTGACTTGTCGAGGATCTTCTGCTGACATTTTACTCATATTATGCTCAGCCTTAGCAGCATCAGATGGCTTGGATAAATTCCTAAGAGATTCCCGAATTTCTTGTAACATTTGCCGGCTGCTGCCAGTATAGTTACTGGCAGGAAAGGTCTTAGGCCTCATTTGTCTATATCCTTCTGGCTTTTCACTTCTCTTCATGAAAACATCTACATATATAACCCACACAAAGGGTTTCTTTAAGAACTACTTGGTAGATTCAGAGCTTTCTCTTGAGCAAAAGTGAAAATGTTCCTTCACTCCCGAGGAATGTTACAATCCTTCACAATCTAATTAACCCTAGAAAAGAATAAAAAATAAAATAAATGAAAGCTATAAACTGATTACCTGATAAAGAAGTACAATGTATCCAGAAAAAACAAAAATACTTAGGAGTTAGAGACCTGGTTAGAGTTCTGGCTCCACTACGGATTACTACGTGATCAGGACAAGTTCCTTAACCTCTCTGTGCTTATTTCTAATCTATAAAATCAATTTACCTTATTTACTTCAAATAGTGGTTATGATGAATAAAAGACCATTTTTAAGAGTGCTTTACCCAAGGCCATCTCTTCAAAGATTAGACCAGACTATGGGACATAAAATGACACTCGTGAAGAGTGTGCTTAGCTCAAGTAGATACATGACACTAAATGGGCAGCTCCTGTCCAGAGGCGAGATGAGAAGGCAGAGAGGGCCAGGAGCTGGTTGAATGGACACGGGAAATCCAGGGTAGAAAGGAGTGCGCCGTCACAGTATAAGGAGAGCAATTAGGGTCACATAACTATAAATTTTTGTATGAGACTAACTTGAATTGTAAACTTTCACTTAAAGTACAACAATAAAAAATAAATAAAATATTAGAAAGAGTGCTTTAGTGAGCACATAAAGTATACAAGGGATTAATAAGTGAATAATACAATACGTAACTTCTCGTTATCAACATCACCTAGAGGCTCCTATTTTTGATTTTACAGATTAGACTTAACTGAAGATTTCTTTGAGGAGTCTTGGTGGCGCGTGGTTAAAAAAAGCTCTCAGCTGCTAACCAAAAGGTCGGGAGTTCAAACCCACCAGCTGCTCCATGGGAGAAAGAGGTGGCAGTATGCGTCCGTAAAGATTTACAGCCTTGGAAACCCTCTGGGGCAGTTCTACTTTGCCCTATAGGAACTCCATGAGTCAGAACTGACTTGACTGCAGTGGGTTTGGTTTTTGGTTTGATTGGAAGATTGAAAAGACAGGATACTGTTGTTTAAAAAAACGTTTTTAAACCATTAGTCTAGATCCCCTTAAGCTTCAAAACCAGATACTTGGATTTATTTCCCAAACTGTAGACGGGGACTCTAGAGATAGTAAGCTAATTATTAACAATGGATGAGAAGACCTTTGACGTCAACTTGTCTTAACTCCTTACTTAATGCATGAATCTCCTGTATAACACACTGGAAGAACAGCCATCCAAAGTCTACTTAAATGTCCCCACTAATATGGAAATCAGGGTCACTATGAGTCAGAATCAACTTGATGGCAACGGGTTTGGTATTTTTTAATAGGGAAATCACTAACTCAATAAAGTCATTCCATTTGTGATCTGCAGTAACTGTTTGAGATGCTTTCTTTATGTGGAGCATCATGAAATCTGACTTAGTGCCTACTGAGAGCCTGCCAGATGATTTAGCAAACCCTCCTAACAGTCCTGTGAGGTAGGCTCACTATCTCTACTTTGTCGATGAGAAAACTGAGCTTAGAGAGTTTGGGCAAAATAATTTATAAGCAGTACAGTCGGGATATGAAACATTGCTAATTATCATCTACCGGGAGTCTATTTCTAGTCGTTAATGTCATCACCGTTCAGGATATATAAAGATGTCTACAGGCAGAGAGACACAGATATCTCCTTTTTCTCATTTAGGTCTCAGCCTTATGTTACCTCCTCAAAGAGTCTTTCCCAGGCCACCTTAATCATCTGTTTTGTTTTCTTGGTAGCACTTATCACTACTTAAAATTATCTTATTTACTTGTTAACTGTCCATCTCCCCCTCAGTAGGATCTTGTTAGTCTTGTAACTGTCTACCGCCTAGAGCAATTACCACAGCCTGGCACATGGTGGGTACTCAATAAATATATACATATTGAACAAATAAATGAATATATGCCTTCTAAACAGTCACAGTTCCTTTAACTGTTCCCTAACTCTAATCATGCTCTTCTGGATACAATGCAGTTTGTCAAAATCCTACAGGTACTAAAAAAGCACAGTACTTGTAACGGAAAAACAAACAAACAAAAAAATAAGATTCAAGTACTTGTTAATTATTAGCAATGTGAACTTGGGAATTTAATTCTCTAAAACTGTCTCCTGAGCCATTAAATGGTAAGAGTAGCATCTATTTATGGACTGAACAGGATTAAGAGGAACAATGCAATGCAGCTAGAAATATAAGAAACATTCGTACAAGTGCATGAAGATATACGATGTTCCTTGTAATGCCGTAATAACAGCAAAAAGGGACAGCAATCTAGACAATCATCAGTGGAGAGCTGTTTAAGTAATTCATAGTATTAAAAAACCAAACTCGTTGCCATCGAGTCGATTCCGACTTATAGCAACCCCACAGAACAGAGTAGAACTGCTCCACAGTGTTTCCAAGGAGCGGCTAGTGGATTTGAACTGCCAACCTTTTGGTTAGCAGCCGAGCTCTTAACCACCAGGGCTCCAGTATGTGTGTGTATATATAAATACAGATGTAGATTTATATCTATACATACACATATACATATATATACATATATGCCTAAAAGCAGAGAATACCAGAAAGATGTCTACCTGTGTTTTATTGACTATGCTAGGGCATTCGACTGTGTGGATCATAACAAATTATGGATAACACTGCAAAGAACGGAGATTCCAGAACACTTAATTGTGCACGTGAGCAATCTGTACATATATCAAGAGGCAGTTGTTCAAACAGAACAAGGGGATACTCGGTTTAAAGTCAGGAAAGGTGTGTGACAGGGTTGTATCGTTTCACCATATTTACTCAATCTGTATGCTGAGCAAATAATCCGAGAAGCTGGACTATATGAAGAACAGGGCATCAGAATTGGAGGAAGACTCATTAACAACCTGCATTATGCAGATGAGACAACCTTGCTTGCTGAAAGTGAAGAGGACTTGAAGCACTTACTGATGAAGATCAAAGACCACAGCCTTCAGTATGGATTATGCCTCAACCTAAAGAAAACAAAAATCCTCACAACTGGACCAATAAGCAACATCAAGATAAACGGAGAAAAGATTGAAGCTGTCAAGGATTTCATTTTACTTGGATCCACAATCAACACCCATGGAAGCAGCAGTCAAGAAATCAAAAGATGCATTGCATTGGGCAAATGTGCTGCAAAAGACCTCTTTAAAGTGTTGAAAAGCAAAGATGTCACTATGAGGACTAAGCTGTGCCTGACCCAAGCTATGGTGTTTTCAATCGCCTCAAATGCATGCGAAAGCTGGACAATTAATAAGGAAGATGGAAGAACTGATGCCTTTGAATTGTGGTGTTGGCGAAGAATACTGAACACACCATGGACTGCCAAAAGAACGAACAGGTCTGTCTTGGAAGAAGTAAAACCCGAATGCTCCTGAGAAGCAAGGATGGCGAGACTACGTCCTATATACCTTGGACATGTTGTCAGGAGAGATCAGTCCCTAGAGAAGGACATCATGCTTGGTAAAGTAAAGGGTCAGCGGAAAAGAAGACCCTCAATGAGATGGATTGGAACAGCGGCTGCAAAAATGGGCTAAACCATAACAATGATTGTGAGAATAGCGCAGGACCAGGCAGTGATTCTTTCTGTTGTTCACAGGGTTGTTATGAGTCGGAACTGACTCAACAGCACCTGACAGCAAGAAGAAGCAGATGTTAAAAAGAATGATGCAGTTCTATTGAAATGTACCGACATGAATAGATACCCATAATGTACTGTTAAGCAAAACAAGGAAGTTTGGAGCCCTGGTGGCACAGTGGTTAAGAGCTTAGCTGTTAACCAAAAGGTTGGCAGTTCAAATTCACCAGCTGCTCCATAGAAACCCTATGGGGCAGTTCTACTCTGTCCTGTAGGGTTGCTATGACTCAGAATCGACTCGACAGCAATGGGTTTGGTTTTGTTGGTACGTATACTAAAAACCACTGAACTGTACACTTGCGATAGGTAAACTTTATGGTATATAAATTACACATTAACAGAGCTTTTTAAAAAACATTTAAAAATTATTCATATAGAAATTAATTATACATTGTACACACATATTTGCAGCAGACTTGACACAGCATGAAGCCCTGCAGCAGACTATTAGAGGCACTGTTTCCTGAGTAATTCACCTCATTTATCAGCATTTTCATGGAACTATTGCTAAATTAGTTACGAATCAATCAAGCTTTATTTAACAAGCAGCTCACATTTGTTTTCTTAAGAAAAAAATTAGCTTTGTCACTGTCTTGCTGAAAACTACATGTTCTTTTATATAACATAATCCAGTTTACTGTTAATTATTTCATAAAAAAAATTAGGTAAGTCTGACAAACCTTGTGCTTTTTATGAAGGAAGCTGGCCTCTAATGATAGTCATTTTCTTCTCTAAGCCTTCCCCAAATATTAATAGCCCACTACCAAATTTTTCTAGGTTTAGCATTTGTTCACCAGTCTAAAGTTTGCAGAATCACCTTCTCATCACTTCTGCAAGCAAACGTATTTTCCATTTCTGGACTTCTGGAACCTACCATTTATCCATGTTCAAGGTTTAAAACAACAGTGGCTGTGAAATCTCACATGCCAGTTCTTTCCATATCTGGGTTCAAATTAATTTACAGCATCTAGGGATTCTTTTAAAATCTCATTTATTTTAGGTTTCAACTCCAAGTTAACCATCATTTTATTATTATTATTATTTTACCATTTCTAAGAGCATTCTCCTTAACAGAGAAGAGAAAAAGAAAATAAGCATAGTTTTGCTCTATCTGTCAAAATTCAGCTTTTGCCCCATACCCCTAACACAGGACCTGGCCAACAGTAAGCAGTTTAGAAATATGTGTTGATCTAATAAATTCAGGCTATTTATTCCTTCTTTTTACTCTTAAAAATATATAATTTCTTTTAATTATAAAAAGATACCTTCTTACCGAAAAATTAAAATATAAATATATTAAATAGAAGTCTATCATAACTTACCTCCCTCCTCAATAGAATCACTGTAGTAGGCTGAATAATGGTCTCCCCCCAAAAGATATCCACCAGTTAATCCCTGGAGCCTGTAAATTTAATGTATTTAGAAAAAGGGTCTTTGCAGATGTGATTAAGGCTCTTGAGATGGGAGATTGGACTGGATTATCCAGGTGAGTCCTAAATACAATCACAAGTGTCCTTACTAGAGACTGACAGAGGGAAATTTGATTCACGCAGAAGAGGAGGAAGCAACATGACCATGGAGGCAGAGACTGGAGTGATACGACCACAAGGCAAGGAATACCAGGCAGCCATCAGAAGCTGGAAGGGGCAAAGAACTGCTTACTAATGTTGAAGAAACTGTTTTATTAAAAAACAAAGTACAAGCAGTAAGCTAGTTGAGAAAGATCTGCACCTTCCAAAGAGTGAATTTTGTCCCCCAATGCTCACACGTTAAGACATGGCCAAGAATGATAATAGAAAAAGAATGTACCAGAAAGTTCTTGGAGAGCCACAGGATAACTGGCCATAGGTCATAAAGAACAATGGATGAAGGAGTTCCTCCCAGGTAACTGCATCTTCCCTAGATCTAGGTCTGGTTGCTTCCATTAGATCTGCCTAGGGAGATTTCAGAATTATTACAGATAAGCAATTACTGTTTATCTCCCATTCTTCCTCTTTTCTAACAGGAGTGCTTAATACGGCCCTCCTGTACTTGTTCAACCACTGTATACTGTGGTCAGTGAGAGTGAGATAGAATGGATGTATGTGTGTATGTAGGGTAGATAACATCACAGGTCTCTGGACCAACAGGAGCCACATCTGGACCAGATGGAGAGACTACTGGGCATGAAAAACGTAGCACCGATGACTCTAGCTACTACCATTGCTTAGGGCCCAATATGCTAAAAAAGATAAGATAGTAGTATGAATATCTTTCCATGACAACACATTTCCTTGATTGTAAGATGCCTGCTTTTCCACATTTCAACATGTCTGAAATTAAGTGTTTTAAAGTCAGTATTAAAAAAGAAATTTGCCAGCACCCAAGCAGAGACATGCTGGAAAAGCAGACACTACACATGCCTAACTTAACAATAAGTTATTGCGTTAGTTGCCACTGACACAGCTTTGACTCACGGCGGCCTCAAGTATAACAGAATCAAACGTTGCCCAGGCCTGCACCATCCCCATGACTGCTGGTATATTTGAGTCCACTGTTGCAGCTATGGTGTCAATCCATCTCACTGAGGGTTTGCCTCACCTTCACTGGCCCTCCGCTTTACCAAACATAATGTCCTTCTCCAGCAATTGGTCCCTTCTAAATGATGTGTCTAAAGTAAGCAAGTGAAAGTCTTGGACAATATTCTGTGATCCACACGGTTTTTGTGGGCTAGTTTTTGGAAGGAGATCGCCAGGCCTTTCTTCCTTATCTATCTCAGTCTGGAAGCTTTGCTGAAACCTGACTACCATGCGTGACCATGCTGGTATTCGAAATACCAGTGGCAAGCTTCCAGCATCATAGCAACATGTAAGCTACCACAATAGCACAAACAGACAGATGGGTGGTAGTAATCATAAATAAGAAGTATCTTTTCATCTCTTTGTTACCTGGATTGCATTCTTTCCATTGATAGCACCACATATGATTAAATCTGGATCCTTGATTCAAAATGTCTTCAAAATGATTCTGCTATGATGTGGCACTGTGTTCTCAGAAAATGTCACCCAAAAGGCAATGGAATTACAGGCATAAGCAAGTGCCAAACTGAGGCAAGATCACAGAATTTTCAAGGGTAAGAGAGACTCTTATGAAGGACAACCACTCAGATATCAAACAACTGTCAAACACTTTTGACATCTTTAGAAGAAACTATTTAATTTCCAGCAAAAAGTAACCCAGTTAAGGTAAAAACAAAACTAAGATATAAACAAAAAGAAAAGAAAGATAAAACCCCCGTATTCTTCAATATGGCTCAAAATTATACACTCAATCATAAAGACAATAAAGAGGTTCAAGATAATTAACTGGGGTTTTGAAAAGCAGCATGTCCCCATGATGCTACGTGTTAACTACCTGTTTATTCTTCTTGAGGGAGTCCCGGGGTGCAGCAAACAGTTAATGGTGATCAGCTGCTAACCAAAAGGTTGGAGGTTCGAGTACACCCAGAGGCACCTTGGAAGAAAGTCCTGGCAATCTACTTCTGAAACATTAGCCATTGAAAACCCTATGGAGCACAGTTCTACTCTGACACACACGGGGTCACCATGAGTTGGAATCAACTCAGCAACGGGTAAAAATTCTTGGGAGAGCTCTTGCCATATTTCTTCTTGTAGAAATTACACCCAATCTTCAAGGTCCCACTGAGACACTGCTTTCTTCAAGAAGCTTTCATTGAACTCCCAGCTGTTATCCTTCTCCTCAAGACTCTAAACGCACTTCGTATGGTTCAAATAAAACATCTTTTTGCCCTATTTGTGTACTTGTCTTACTTCTCATGCTAGATCACTGATTCACAGAACATAAGGTGCCTTGGAGATACACACACATATACACATATGCAGGTGGGAGCGGGCATGCACGTGTACATGTACGTGTCTGTATTTTTTTTTTTTTTAACAGATACGGAAATGGATCCAGAGAGGTAAAGTAGCCTGCTGAAGGTCACCTAGCCAGCTGGATCTTTCCATTATATCTACATCTTGAGCTTCCCTAACAGGCAGGGGTCATCAATCACTCATTCTTTGAAGGGGCACTTAAATTGGTTACACTGAATAGACTTAAAACCTCCATTTCTTTGAAAGTCAAGACCTTTATCAAAAATGCGAATGTCAGTAAATCCAAACAAGTATTGAGTATCTTGCCAACACTTACGGCAAAAACTAATACCACTACATAATAAAATTTCAAAGTGCTACCTTTGGTTAAACTAGATTTATAAAAAAGGTGGCCTGTTTCAATGCTTTGAATAGATCAGTTGTGGGAATAATAACAGTAATACGTACTGTTACTTAGTCGCAAAAATCTTCATAGTCTTAGTTGTTTAGACAGCAACATTCAAGAACCTGTGCAATGCTGATGACATTTTCTTCGATTCACTTTCTAAGAATGAACTGTCTGATCAAAAGTAAAAATAATCACTATATTTTCGTGCTGAAAAATGACTGCCATTTCTTCTTGATAAAAATGTTGTTCAGTGACTAAATAACTTTTGAAATCTACAAAAATCCTCCACTAATATAAATATAGCATCCACAATAATAAAGTAACCAGTTTGTTCCAAGACTATATTATATAGAACAAGGACCAGACTTAAAAACAAAAATAAAAAACTTAACTTATAGAAAGAAATCCAACTATCATACACAAAAAAATGCAGCAGTAGTTTTTTATTTGCTTTTGGAGTGGCAAGGCATAGTCTATCAATATTCAGGCACAGAAACAATGTGCCTTCTCCACCATGTGCCACGATCTAATTTCTTGTAGTAGCAGCCGATCAGAGGAACACAGTGCTACCTCTCTAACAGTTAAATCAAATTCCTCCACTGCCTTAGGGAATCAACTAGCCCATTTTACCTGTCTGTTAACTTATTAAAGGAAAGAAATAACCTTGGTTAAGACAACTACAAATGTCGGTGCCTTAGCAAAGAATACTCATTCCAATTATAACGTCCCACCTTTTCTTCCTTCTACAGGAAAAATGATAAAAATTTTAAATCTTCATAAATAATCCATAAAGGCCTGGCAAGCTTCGTGATCCCAAGTACTCAAATCCACTTCCAAAGCTGGAGTGATATGATTTTTTTTGTGTGTGTGAGACTGTACTTCTCACTAGATTTATGAGTAACTTCTAGACGAAGATAAATATTTTAAGTCGTATTAAGATATGAGGTACATAAACATTAAATTTGTTCCCTTAAATAATGACTTTCAATTGGAGAAGAGATAAGGGGTTAAATTAAGTCACCTGAGAGTCATTCTTTGCACTAAAAGTTCTTTTCGAAAATATGCGATGTTCCTTTTACTTTCTTTCCTTCATCTTCTGTATTTATATACACACCCCTCCTTCACAAACACTCCTCCATCTCTCCCACCACTTCCAACTGTGAACAGTAACTTAACATTACAGTGGATTGGAAACAGAGATTCTAGATTTCTTCAATGTATACGCAGATCGGGTGCTTCTGGGATCCAATGAACGGTAGCTCTTTTACTCCTAGTTTCTTTCGGAGACACCTTTCGCTTTCCTCCCCTCCCAGACCCCGCTGCCTCTCGTGTTGGGGGTGGGGTGGCGGGGAACAGTATGCAAAAGGCCACCAGTGAGGCGGACTCTTCCCAGTCTAACCTGCACCTCCGAGGCCGAAAAGCCTGGGGCTCTTCCTCCAGTGCCGGGCGCGGCCGACAGTCGCTTCCCCCGGGCATGGCTCGGCTCAGGTTAACGCTTCTAGCCAAGACAGGCCCGGCCCCGGCCGGCTCAGCCCGCCCGTCCGCAGCAGCCCCTGGACCCCCGCCAGCAGGGATGGGCGTGGGCCCCAGCTGCCACCGCCCGCCAACTTGGGCTTGTGAGGAGAGAGTGGGCCCCACCCGCTACGCCCGCCGCGGACTTACCTGCAGTAGAGAGCGGGGCTCTTGGGCTGGGGCCACGGGCCCAAGGGCGGGCGCCGAGGCGGCCAGACCCCGTACCAGCGACCCCAAGAATCCCTGGTGAGGCAGGGCAGGGAGAGGCGCTGGGGGACTGCCGCGGGCCAGCGCGGCCGGTCGCGGGGGTCGCGGGGACCTGGCTCTCCCCTTAGCACCAGGCCACCGCTGCTGCCGCCATTTTGCCTTCCACTCCGTGTCGCCGCCGCAGCGCTCCGCGGTAGGTTTCCCGGATGTGGGCATTTCCCGGCGTCGCTTGCGCGGGGGCCGAGGACTGGGGGCTTCTGCCTGTCCCGCGGCTGGGAGCGAGCGCGCCGCCTGCGGCCTCCTGCTCGCTGCCTACGCCCTCTCCTCTGGGTGTTGATGAGCATAGTCCGCTTCGTTGCCGCATTTCGCTGCCCAGATGACACTCGCCCCGTTAGTGAGGTCAGGATCTCCCGCGCCCAAGCCCACGCCTGGCTTTCAGTCTCGCGTTTTTTTAATTGAGCTCTTGCTATGAACGGATATAGGATAAAGATACACGTCTCCAGGGGCTTAATTCTCAGAAGGGAACAGCAACGAGTCCCTCTCTGAAACCTCGCGGTGGACATCAGGTATAGGATTTCTAGAGGCTTAGAAGTAAACTTTGATGCTTAACGCTCTTTCCCCGAATAAGTCCGTGAGCGAAAGCATGTATGTATTTTCTGAATAAGTCAAATAACACATTCCTAGAACCAAGACAGATTAATGAACAGATTTTAGAGACCTTTGTCTGCCAGCCGTATCAGTAAAAGAGGAGGTCATTATTGTCCTAATTGGAATAACAGTGACCAGTGGTGAGAAGTTTTATTCCGTGTTATGTTGAATCGGAAGTTTCGGATAGGATCATTGGAGGTACCCTCCATCCTTTATAAAGAAGCACTTTGCCAATTTTGCCTCTAGAAAATAAATGCAGTTAGCATTTTCAAATATCTCTTTTCATCTTTCTAACTAGAGACGAACTAAAAAAAACCTTTTTTTTTTAATTGAAGACTTCTTTTTCTGATGTTACATGAATGACTGGCCAGTGTATCCAAAGTTCTTATGTGGAAACCTTTCTTCAAAGAAAAGATTACATTCTAAGAGCCTTCTAAACTGTAAGCTCCATGAGGGTAGGAATATCTGTTCTGTAGCACCAAATACTGCCTGGCATATGGTAGACCTTCAGTAGGTATTTAACTGAAATCGGAGTTCGGTTTTAAATGGCCAAATTTTTTCTTTCTTTTCTTTGTGCTTCAGGTGAAGCATTACAGAAAAAATAGTTTCTCATTAAACAGTAGTACACATATTGTTTTATGACATTGGTTAACAACCCCACGACATGTCAACCCTCTCCCTTCTCGACCTTTTTTTTTTTTCCTTTGGTGAAAATATACATAGCCAAAGATACACCATCCATTTCAAACATTTCTACGTGCACAGTTCACTGACATCGACTACGCTCTTCCAGTTGTGCTGCTATTCTCACTTTAGATGAAGGTTTACAGAACAAAATAGTTTCTCATTAAACAGTACGCATGATGCCCTATGACAATAGTTAACAACCTCACTACACATCAACATTGTCCTTACTCAACCTTGGGTTCCCTATCACCAGCTTTCCTGTCCCCTTCTGCCTTCTAGCCCTTGTCCCTGGACTGCTGTGCCTCATTAGTCCCGTTTTGCTATATGGGGCGGCCAATCCTCTGCTGAACGGTG